CAGTGCTCTGGGGGGTCAGGGTGCACTGCAGCCCCAATGGCTTATGCTGAGATTCTATGAACCCCAGCAAACACCTTCCGATAAAGCTTTCCTGCCTCCTCAGTGCATTTAGGCTGTGAGCTTCTTTTGCTGGTTCCAATGTGGCTCTGCCATGGCTTAAACCACATTAACATGAAAGGGATCAATGTGAATAAAGCACATCCCTGCTTTCAGCCACATCGGTTTTAGCCTTGGAACACTGAGAATCTTAGAACAATAGAAGGGTTTGAGTTCAAAAGGCTCTTAAGACCTTCAAGCCCCAACCCCTGCCACGGGCAGGGACCCCTTCCACTGGAGCAGCTTGCTCCAAGCCCCTGTGTCCAACCTGGCCTTGAGCACTGCCAGGGATGGGGCAGCCACAGCTTCTCTGGGCACCCTGTGCCAGCGCCTCAGCACCCTCACAGGGAAGAGCTTCTGCCTAAGAGCTCAGCTCAGTCTCCCCTCAGGCAGGTTCAAGCCATTCCCCTTGGCCTGGCCCTACAGGCCCTTGTCCCAAGCCCCTCTCCAGCTTCCCTGCAGCCCCTTTAGGCACTGGAGCTGCTCTAAGGTCTCCCCTTCAGGAGCCTTCTCTTCTCCAGGCTGCCCCAGCCCAGCTCTCTCAGCCTGGCTCCAGAGCAGGAACATCTCTGAGCTGCCACGGAGCGCAGCAGCCCCGGCAGCGGGGCGAGGAGCCGGAGAAGCCCGAGGCGCGTCTGCTCTACCTCACGGCTCTGTGGAGCGCGGGCTCTGAAAGAAAAGCGCGGGGTTTCTAAGCCCGCCTCGCCTTGGCCCCGCCCCGGGGCGGGGCCTAATGGTGGCGGCAAACGCGGGCCGAGGGGCGGGGGGTTGGTGCCTTGGCCACGGGCAAGTCACTGTCACACAGACTGTTTAGTCTGGCTCAGCCGCTGGCCCTGCGGCGGGGCGGGAGAACCGATTCAGTGGGGCTCGGGGTGGGAAGGTGGGCAGCGAGAAGGGCTGGGGGGAGACCCCGCATGGGATGGGGAATAGAGTTCCGGTGTCCACAACGTAAAGACACGGAGGGAGTCCAGAGGAGGCCACGGGGATGCTGCGAGGGCTGGAGCAGCTCTGCTCTGGAGCCAGGCTGAGAGAGCTGGGCTGGGGCAGCCTGGAGAAGAGAAGGCTCCTGAAGGGGAGACCTTAGAGCAGCTCCAGTGCCTAAAGGGGCTGCAGGGAACCTGGAGAGGGGCTTGGGACAAGGGATGTAGGGACAGGCCAAGGGGAATGGCTTGAACCTGCCCGAGGGGAGACTGAGCTGAGCTCTTAGGCAGAAGCTCTTCCCTGTGAGGGTGCTGAGGCGCTGGCACAGGGTGCCCAGAGAAGCTGTGGCTGCCCCATCCCTGGCAGTGCTCAAGGCCAGGTTGGACACAGGGGTTTGGAGCAAGCTGCTCCAGTGGAAGGGGTCCCTGCCTGTGGCAGGGGTTGGAGCTGGAGGAGTTTAAGGTCCCTTCCACCCCAAACCAGCAATTCTACAATCAGTCAGTTCTTTTGTCTCAGCCATACCAAGGTTTACCTAAAGCATCTTTGGAATCAGGTGGAAAGGGATCAGAGCAAACCAGTGCCATAGTGACAGGCCATGCCCTGGGCCAGCAGGTCTTTAGTGACTATGCCAGCGCACCCAAAAATGCACCCTGGTGCAGGCAGACGGAGCAGCAGATCAGCAGTGCTGAGCCCAAAGACATTGCTGGTCCCTGAGACCTTGACCAGCACCCAGTCACATCCAGCTGGGATTCACAGCTCCGTTTGTTCCCACATCACTCACACACACTGGATTAGAACTGTACAGGTGAACCAGAATCTATATAATGAGATATATAAGCATATATATTTTTATATATGTTATATATAATATATATGCATTTTTATATTTATATAAGTTACGAGGCTTTATCTATTTATATTACTGTAAAACATGACTAAATATGCTCATCTTTCACCCTGGAACAGGGGATTCTTCATGCAGCAGAGCCTGCATCTGCATTTCCCTTGGGCTTGCTCTCTAACCCAGACCTGGTTCAAGGCGAGCTGAAGCTCAGATACAGCAGGAAAGGAAGATAATAGTTAGATTTTTAGCATAGTACCAATTCTTTCTGCAGGCTCGGGGGCAGCAGCAGCCTCCCGTGCTGGGGAGCGTTTACTTGGTAGCAGGAAGCCTGAAACCTGATGCTGTCTCCGCAAAAAATCCTCAAGTACATTTAACAATAGCCCTTGTTTATAGGCATCAGGCCATTTGTTTTCCTCCCTTCCCTACAGTGATGCAACAGGCACTGCTGAAGAATTTGCTTTCTGAGCCAGGGGGTTTGGGTTTAGTTCCAGATTTACAGGGAGCAGATTCTGGCTGCTTTGGTTAAATCTCTTCCACGCTGTCAGAGGGAGGCTGAGCTCTCCAGGGGGTGATTCATCCTTTCTGGAGTGAGGGTTCAAAGGGGTGCATAGATGTAACTCAAGAACAAGGTTGGGAAGCGAGAACATGAGCTTTTAATCATATTCCTTGTTATGGATTTCTTGCATGGCCAGGGATGGGGCAGCCACAACTGCTCCGGGCAACCTGTGGAATGGGAACAGCTTGCCCAGAGAAGCTGTGGCTGCCCCATCCCTGGCAGTGCTCAAGGCCAGGTTGGACACAGGGGCTTGGAGCAAGCTGCTCCAATGGAGGGTGTCCATGCCTGTAGCAGGGGTTGGAGCTGGAAGAGCTTTAAGGTCCCTTCCAAACAAAATCCATCTGGGATTCTGTGATTGTATGAGCATAGCTTTGTACCCAGTTACCCACATTGCAAGGTGGGCACCGCAGGGTGGTGGTTCCCAGCTCACCATCCAGATTACAAAAGGTGATTTGTATAGACACAGAATCACAGACTGATTTTGGTTGGAAGGGGACATAGAGATCATGCAGTTCCAACATCCATGTTTTGCTTCTGTGAACATGGGCTTTTTGTCACATTCCCTGCTACAGATTTCCTTTATGGCCTTTGTTTTTTTCTCTTAATCTTACTGAAAGTAACTCAGTGCCCACCCACCATGGGAAATGAAGGGGTTTTGGGGGCTTCTCATTGCATCTTCAACATAGGTGTCACCATGGTGTGCCCAAAAAAAGAATGCGTGTACCTGAACACAGGTCACAAACAAGATGTAATGAAAGGAGCAGCGAGTACTGCCAGAGGGGGTTCTTATTGGAGGAGTCCCCACTTAGGCTGTGTGACTCCTGCATCAAATTGCTCTGCTGTGACAGGGCAGGAGGTTGGGGATGAGGAGGTGGAATGGTTTATCAGGGCCACAATGCCCCATGGCTGCCTTCAGGGCCAAAACCATCCCCATCATACAACCCTGGCACAGCACTGTCTGGTGCTAAAAAGAACAATTTTAAGGAGTGTGATCAGCAGGTCAAAGGAAGTGATCCTGCCCCTCTGCTCTTGTGACACCTCACTTGGAGCATTGTGTGCAGTTCTGGGGTCCTCAACATAAAAAGGACATGGAACTGTTGGAAAAAGTCCAGAGGAGGCCACAAGGATGCTCAGGGGCTGGAGCACCTCCTGTATGGAGATAGGCTGAGAAAGTTGGGGCTGTTCAGCTGGAGAAGAGAAGCTGATGGAGACCTCAGAGCAGCCTTCCAGTATCTGAAGGGGGCCTTTAGGGATGCTGGGGAGGGACTCTTCATTAGGGACTGCAGTGACAGGACAAGGGGTAATGGGTTCAAACTGAAACAGGGGAAGTTTAGATTGGATCTAAGGAGGAAATTCTTTACTATAAGGGTGATGGAGCACTGGAATGGGTTGCCCAGGGAGGTTGTGAATGCTCCATCCCTGGCAGTGTTCAAAGCCAGGCTTGATGGAGCTTTAGGTGGCATGGTTTAGTGTGAGGTGTCCCTGCCCATGGCAGGGGGTTGGAACTGGGTGATCTTAAGGTCCTTTCCAGCCCTAACTATTCTATGGTTCTATGACTACGCTGTGCATGCAGTGCAAACTGATGGAAGGAAGCAGCATGTCAGTACCTCACTGGCTGAATGTCACTTCCCTGTACAGAACTTCCCTGCACTGCTGTTGGCTTCTTGGTTTGCAATAAAGTGAGAACATGGATAAAGAATCACAGCAACACAGATTCTGATGCTTCTAGGAGCTGAATGACAGACATCTCCACACCGTGCCTGGAGCCTGGGCCTCTAATCAAAAGCTTTCTTATGAGAGCTTTCAGTATTTCTTTGGATTCGGCTGTCTGAAGCTGTTCCTAAGAGCTTGATAACAGACATGGACAGAGGCAATGATCTGTTACATTAATCTTGTTGTCCTTCAAGGTAGCAGATGACATCTTCTGCCTCTCCTCCAGGTCCACTGGGCACTTTGAGGAGGAATGTGATAAAAACCTGAAAACTTGCCATCTTTCAGCACCAAAGAGGGGAAGGAGAACAAAATACATGCTATGTACAGTTCTGTTGGATGACATGCTGGATTAGGCCGTAGAAAAGTGGCTTCTTGGATCTGTCACCTTCATAGCATTGCTTTTCCTTTCCATGGATTTATTTCTGATCCTTTCTTCTTAGATTGTACAGCAGGGATTATTTCATGTGTTTTATCACAAAACAAGGAAGTAATGGTCAGAAGAACTGAAGCGTTCATGTTAAATAGGCAGGAGACAAAGGCCACACTCACCTGACACAGGTCATCTTTGCAACACTTTGGGGAGGAAGATTCAGCCTGCCAAAGGGTTGGGAGGGACTTTCTGGGGTTTACTCAGACCATGTTCAGGGAGAGTTCATCTCAGTTCATTACTAGAAATGCAGCTCATTGCATAGAATCTTTGAATCATAGAATAGTTAGGGTTGGAAAGGACCTTAAGATCATCAATTTCCAACCCCCCTGCCATGGGCAGGGACACTTCGCACTAAACCATATCACCCAAGGCCTTGTCCAACCTGGCCATCACTGTATTGAATTCCTGGGTTACCCTCTGCATTTGCGATCTGCTTGAGGACCATTGGGTTGTCAAGCTGGACTATGTTTGAGTGGGGGATCTTGTACTTGCTCTCCTTCATCAGGCTGTTTGAGGGACCTGGCCAGGGTTTTACAGAGAGGACTGAGGTTTTACATCCAGTTTCAATCCACAGGGAAAATTAAAAGCCTGTAGAAAACCCTTGACCAAGACAAGCCCAGTGGAGATGAGCCCCTTCCATGAGCTGGAAGATCTCTTGATGGGGGATGTCAGCAAGTGCCTTTACCTGCAAGGGCTGATCAATGAACATGCTTGTGGCGAACAGGGCTTCTTGGTGAGTTGTACAAAGTGAATCACTGCAGCAGGTGATGCACACTCTCCTCCATCACATCTCACATCCTGTGTACCCATAGAATAGGTTGGGTTGGAAGGGACCTTTAAAGCTCATCCAGTCCAACCCCCCTGCAATGAGCAGGGACATCTTCAACTAGATCAGGTTGCTCAGAACCACATCCAGCCTGGCCTTGAATGTCTCTAGGGATAGCGCATCCACCGCCTCTCTGGGCAACCTGGGCCAATGTTTTACCATCCTCAGTGTACTAAGTTTCTTCCTCACATCTAACCTAAATCTCTGTTTTCATCTGGAATTTCATGTGGAATCTAGTTGAAGATGTCCCTGCTCATTGCAGGGTTTGGACCCAAACTATTCTATGATTTCACCCTTGTTCATAAGCCCATGAACTACAGAGATGCCTGATAATCATAGAACCATAGAATAGGTAGGGTTGGAAAGGACCTTAAGATCATCTAATTGCAACCCACAAATTTCAATATTCTGTAAAAATGCTTCTTATTCTAAGAAGACTATAAGCATTGCTAATTCTGAAATAGCATTTTATGTTAATATCGTAGTACAAACTTCAGCATTATCATAATATATATGTAAAATATTCTATTTAAGGAGCAAGGAGTAACTTAGGTCACATTTTTCACATTAGGATTACTTCACAATTCTTTCATTTTAAGGAGTAAACATGTTTTACACAGTAGGATGAAAACAGCAATGCAAAGCACTAGCAATAAGTTATTTTTATTCTGACAAAAGAGTAATAAAAAATGTACTCAGAAATAAATGCTGGGTTGAAGCTGTCATTTTTTTCTTTTGAAATTGCTTAATGTGTTTGTTTATCCATATTTTTCTTAGTCATCCAGAATTCTGTATTTATATAATACATTAATTACATGTTTTGTTACACCAGTGTTATAAACTTGGTAGTTCTTCAGTATTGGGGTTAAATATACTAATAATTTAATAAACTGCTCTTTCCTCACAAGTGGCCCTTCAATTTGGGACATTTAATCCCCTGCAATGGGTGACTCATTAGTCTTTCAGTTTTGTGGGGTACTCTATATAGTCAAGGATCCTGCAGGAATGGGATGTAGTATGTCATCAAAAAGTAATCCGACTGGAGGAAATGGATCAGAGCAATGGACACAAGAAATTCACAAAGTTCCAGTTTAGTTAATAGTTTACACTGGGCCAAAACTAATTCTTACAGATATAAATTCAGCCTGGAGAAGAGAAGGCTGCGTGGAGACCTCATAGCAGCCTTCCAGTATCTGAAGGGGGCCTATAGGGATGCTGGGGATGGACTCTTCATTAGGGACTGTAGTGGTAGGACAAGGGATAATGGCTTAAAACTTAAACAGGGGAAGTTTAGATTGAATATAAGGAGGAAATTCTTTCCTGTGAGGGTGCTGAGGCACTGGAATGGGTTGCCCAAGGAGGTTGTGAATGCTTCATCCCTGGCAGTGTTCAAGGCCAGGTTGGACAGAGCCTTGGGTAATATGGTTTAGTGTGAGTTGTCCCTGCCCATGGCAGGGGGGTTGGAACTGGATGGTCTTAAGGTCCTTTCCAGCCCTAACTATTCTATGATTCTAAATACACCTGATATATCTAAATGAGGTCTTGATCATACTCATACTGCAGTTAGAGGTAGCACATGGCTCCCTGAACTTGAAAGCACAGAGAGTGGTGAGCAGGACCCAGAATGGGCCACATCTCTACCAAAACAGTTTTGGAGACCCATGTAGTGCCAGTGCTCTGAATAAATAAAACATGCTTCTCACCATCCATCCAGCACCTCCCAGCAGCAGCAAACCCCCTTTAAAAAGACAGGCAGGAAGGAACGATGCTTTATCATGCATCGCAGTGAAAGGCAGTATTGTTGGGGCTGGATGGTTTCCTTAACCCTTGTATGTGATTGCATACACCAGGGCTTATGTTCCAAAAGTGAAACCGACCTGCTCTTGTGTATCCATACACCACTTCACCCCACATCTCTGCAGCACAGCACCCAAGCAGCCTTGGTTAGCTACATACCTTGTCAAAGGGGCAAAGCCCCACTCCATGATGCTGTGTTTCTTGGATTGGCTCCGTATTCCCTCATCTCCACCAGACAATTAGGAACAGGCTTCCAGGAGTGTGCTGTGCTCCCAGAAAAGCCTCTCCCAATCCCCCAGTGACCTCCCGACCTGGAGGTAACATCCATACTAAGCTGTTTTTAAGACAAACAGAAGGAAATACTTAGGTGTAAAATTACTTGGCAGAAACCGGCCCGTTTCCTTTTTTGACAGGGGCAAAATAAATAGAATAATCATCCCTGATCCTGAGAAACCCAATCACCCACTAAGGGCTGCGCACTCCTGTCGGATGATACCCTGTGCCCCTTGAGCCAGGAGGCAGGACTGCCCTAAACTCCTCTCTCATACACAGCTGAGTGCATGAAAGGAGCAGGGAGTGGGAGCCAACCAGGTTCCTCCTGCTTCCCCATCAGCCTTTTATCAAGACCCTCCTCTCCTTCCTCAGGAGCTCTTCTGTAGGCTGCAGGGGTAGAAACCCAAGGAAAGGGGCTGGGATACTGTCCAGCTCCCCTGACATCCTTTGGGGTTGTTTTCTGGGCAGTTCCAAGCAGCTTCTTCCCTCTTCCCAAATGCAGGTCATGTGGAAGCAGCAGAGACCTGCTGGGAAGTGAAGGCAATAAGAGGTTTGCCAATGTGGCAGCCCCCACCTTGGTTGTCCCAAGGGGACCCTGCAGCCCATCCATGAACCTTGAGCAATGTGAACACAGCACAGGTCACAGGGAGCAAGAGAGATGAGCTCTTGGCACCGGTCTTTGGCATTTGAGATCTCACTCTGAGCGATGTAGGAGATTAAAGCCAACACCACCCCTTGCCAGGTTTGCTGTCTAATGAAAACTCACCTTGTATTCAAACCTTGTGACTCAACAGAGGGAGAGAGACATCTCCAAAGGGTGCTATGCAATTCTAAGGTCTGCATCTCAAGCAAGGCAGATTCCCTCCTGAACATTCAAAACCACCTACATTTGCAGCAGACTCACTTGCAGAACCAGAGAGAACACTAGCAGCTGAGGATGCCTGAGCAGCCCAGCAAGCTTCACTTGTTTGGGAAGCATTGCCAACAGTTTGAATTTGCTTATGGATTTTGTTTAGTTCTAGGTGGAAACTAATGTATAGTATAAGATAATGTGCTAAATCATGCTATGTAATGCAGCTAACATCAGGGGCCACAGGCAGTAATCAGTGCTAAGGCACTGCTCGGCCATACAGTGAGGACATCTGTGGCAGCCACAGGACTTTCTGCATCTGCTGAGATGTGGTAGAAAAAGGACATCAAAATGCACAGCTTTTGGGAGCAAGCACAATGCCACAACCAGAAGGCAGCATCCCAGTCATCTTTTCCAGTGTTACTGTTCTGGTTAAGGATGGTTTGGTTTTGATTTTATGGTCATTTCACCAGTAGAACTGGAAAAACCAGTAAAAAGAGATCCCAGTTAAACTTCAGTTACAATAAGGATTGGCTCAAGCAGAGAAAAAAAAATCACTTCCCAGACTGAAATAATCACACTGGCCCATTGCCATGTGTAGAGCAAGGCGCTGGCTATCTGCATGAACAATATAACTCTTCATTCCCTTGTCTTTTCTCTTCTCCTCACCAATTCTTTTTTCTTTCCCCCCTTAACTTCCTAATACTCAGGAAAAAAAGCAATGAAAGGAGAGGGGAAAAAAAAAAAGCTCTTCTGCCTAATGGAAACAATGGGAAAGAATTAATACTGCTGTTTAAGGAAATAACTGCATTTATTATGCAGCAGCATTCTAACAAATGCAGAGATTTGACAGCTCAGTTAAATCCCAGAGGCTGAAATTTCAGATGCAATTTAAACAGATTTGATAAATATATTAAGAAAAGTTGCTCATTTCCTTTTAAATTACTTTTCTTCTTTTTGTCTTTTTTTTTTAGGTGTTGATACACAAAACAATGACAAAACCAGAGAAAAGATATGGAAATTCCTATGTTTGCAGCAGCATGATCTGATGCTTAGCTCCCAACTCCATCTTCAGATGTTCACTGTATAAATTGCCTCAGTGCTGTACCCCATCTTTTTTATTCATGTTTGTAAGTCTGATGTAAACCTATAGCTTGATGTTTCATCCTCTTCTCCCCTCCCCACAAGGCAAAGGAATAAATAATTGAAAGCCAAATACAGTATTTTTAAAATGGGGTATATCAGGTGCAGTTTTAACCTTTGGAATAGATAATACCATCAGCTAATAGTTCTCCAGCCTGGTTTTAAATAAAGAATACAACTGGGAATACTTTGAGGAGGTTGGACATTGTAGTGTAGGTTCCACAACTGCAGAAGCCCTTCTAAACTCCTTTTCAGATTAATGGAGAGACATAATGGGAGTGGGATTGGAACTAGACTATCTTAAAGTCCTTTCCAGTCCAAACCATTCTGAGATTCTGTATATACCTTCTCCAACTGAGACAACTCAGCCTAAAAACATTAGCAAACAGGTCATATGAACTTATCTAGGACTCCTCACTGCTTTTTGGCTCTAGAGGAATTTTAGGCAAACCACTGTAATGCAAATGTTATTCAAACAGTCTGATATTCAGCATGGCTTTTAATAGGGTCAGAGAATGGTTTGGGTTGAAGCGACCTTAAAGCTCCTCCAGCTCCAACCCCTGACACAGGCAGGGACCCCTTCCACTGGAGCAGCTTGCTCCAAGCCCCTGTGTCCAACCTGGCCTTGAGCACTGCCAGGGATGGGGCAGCCACAGCTTCTCTGGGCACCCTGTGCCAGCGCCTCAGCACCCTCACAGGGAACAGCTTCTGCCTAAGAGCTCATCTCTTAATCATATATTAGTGTTGCTCTAAACACACCATCTCCCTCCACAAGCTCAGGTGGATTCATCTGGTTTGTGTTACAGTGAAGACTAACCTTGACATTTGGAAACCTTTTATCCTTTGCTATTGCTCTGCAATGTCTGACCACCCGAGCCCCCCTGCTGCACGAGGTTACTCTCCTCTTTCTTGTCTAACCACTTTGTGGCACACCTTGATCTCCAGAAAGCCAGACCAGCATCAGCCTGCAACACAAAGGTTCACTAGCACACATCAGCTGATGTGGGAAATGAACAGGGATAGGATTGGTCAGAGATCACCTTATAAGAACACAGATGATTAAATGCATTCAGATTTTATACTTTTGGCTTTCCAATTAAAGTATTAGTGGATTGGTAAGAAGAAATTGTGTTAGGGTTTGGTTTTTTCCCCTTAGGAAAATACAAGGTTTCTGTTCCACTTGTACCTAGGAAGGTGAAGCTCATCATTGAGCTAACCAACACATTTGGAAGGATGAATATCATCTGGCTGGTTTCAGATGCATCAACCTGGAATAAGACCAGTGGGGAAAGAATTTAGATACTTTCTACAAGCAGGGTCAACTTCAAGAAACTGAATTCACTCAGATATTTAGGAACCCAAGGTGGATACATCCTGGCTTCATGAGATGTGAAAAGTGTTCCCTGGAAAGTCATATTGTGTAACTTTGGGAAGCGCCTGGGAATTCCCTGTGCTGGGGAAAGCTGGGCTAGCAACCAGCAAGATCTAACTATTTGAAATAGTTTAAGCCAAATTGCCATGGTTCTTTACACAGGAAAGGGGAAACCACAGCAACCCATGCACACTTGCTTCATTGCAGAGCTCTAAGAAGCAGTTCTCTGCTCCAGAGTCATCTTTAGGCAGGGGATCTGCATCCATGCTCAAGCCATTACTGGGAAAAGGCTCCTGAGCTCAAGCATTCTCAAGCCCTTAGTGAGTAAAAAGATAGAGACTGGTGAAGTAGAGGTGTTGGTAATAAGGAGAGCAAAAGAGAAATGAGGAAGCAGAAAGTAGGGCTGGGAGTGATGCCTTCACTATATACACAGGATCAGGTAGAACATGAAACAGAAAGGTTACCTGTCTCCAGGTAAGACTGGATCTAAGCCCATCTCTGGCCGAAGGTTGTCTGAAAGTGCTGTTAAACCCCTTGGCAGAACTGAAGGCAGTGAAAGTCTCTCGAGTTCCTAGGAAACACTCTTGGGTAAGAGCTGAAGTGGCAATTTATAGCTTGCTGTCAGCATCTGCTTGGCTTCAGGAGAAGAGCCATCAGAACTGTCATGTTCTGAGAAGAGTGCAGTTGGGGCTTCCTCCCTCCCGCTTCCAGTGCTGCTCCTGGCAGGCGTGGAGGCACGATTCCGTGCTGATGTAGGGCACATCGTTAACATGGAAAATTGCATTTCAACATCAGGTTTTGTCTCTTAGGCCAAACATTGGAGTTGCTCTGAGAGAGCAGGGGAGAAAGAGGAAATTGCACTGCTGGGGAGTATGGAGACAGGGTTATGATGCACTGACAGGGCAGATGATTTTCTCCCACCCCTCTCCAGAAGATGATTTATGCTTGAGCAACCGCAGGCCAGCCTGCTTGTGCTTAGACAATCTGATGCACTCCTGCATCATTTCATCACATTCTCCCATTACCCATGGATCCTGACCCCATTTAGTGTAACAAGTAAGCAGTGCGCACAGGTAACAGTTGTTTTAAGCTAAGATTTGGATGCCTCCTCACAGGCATCTTGTGCTATTTGAGGGTGCATATTGCATAAGATTTGAGGTGCCTTTCTAGAACAGCATATGGAGGCTGTCGGTGGCCTGACAACCACCATCTACAGCATTACTAATACAGATAGTAACCTGCACGTAAGCAACAAAATCCATCTAAGATGAAGTCTAAAAACCCAAGGTTTTTAAGGGATTTTAGAGACCAAGGTTGTTGGTTCTACAGGGGAAAAACCAACAAAAAACAGCTGAAGGGTGTAGAAAGACTCTACTAACATGAATGGCACTGCAGGGACCAAAAATAGATTACCCAAACACCTGGGAGGCCTCTTACACGCAGCTCATCCTGCTCCAGAACGCAGGCTGTGCCAAGTGACCTCTCAGAGACCTTATCCAGCATATTTCCATGATTCCTACAGCAGGTTTGTGCTCCAACCCTGATGAGCTATAGGAATTCCAATGTGATGTCATAGGACAGAGTCTCTGTATTTCTTGGAGTTACTTGGTTAAGTTGGCGAAACACCAATATTAGGAACGAAACAAAAGGAGATTGGCACGATTGCAGAGTCAACCACCCAAACAATAGGAAGCGCCAAGATTCAGGCTGCCTTTGTCTTTCCTGGCCTAAACTAACCCTTTTCTCCCTGCTCATCACAGTCCATGTTTTGGTACCTAAATTGCTTTTCTTGTCCCTTCTCTTCCCATCCCCTTTTGAAAGGGCACTGACCCCTCAAGACACAATGTCAGCTAATACAACCTCCACTACTGAGTGGAAAAACTGCTTACGTGTTAGAGAGCATTCGTTTGTTTGTACATCCCAGGATAGTACGAGAGCAGAACATTGCTGACTCACATTCACAATGTGACTCATTGTAAAGCCTTCCCCTCATGCTGGCCCTCTGTCCTTTTCAGGCTGGTTAACCTCACTTAAGCACGGGCATTTCTGTTTGTGCCCATGGGCTCACAACCTATTTTTCCAGGCTACTTTGCCAGTTTGGGGAGTTTGCTTTGGACTCCCTTCCATTCTGCTGGCAGGACCTTTCCTCTCTAGCCCTGACCAGTGCCACCTGGACACTTAATACATGAAGTACACCTAATACATAAGGTATTTCTTTATGCAGGTCACCAATGGAGATATCAAATAGCCCCGAGCCCTGGAGAGCACAGCTCTGCAGAGCCTTCTGCTTTAGCAGCAAACAACTATGAACTTGTTCTTACACACATTTCCATTACTTCATCGAACAGAGCTGCTGCCACTAGTGGATGTCCTCTCCTTTTCAAACCAAGAAGGGGATGGGACACTTCACAAGGGATGCTCAAAGAGTTAGTGAAGCCATGAAAGAATAACACTGGGCAGCTTTAGCAGGGGAAGCTATTCCAGGTTAAAACACTTCCCTATGATCATGAGTGCATCCATCACAAGATCACAACAAACCTGTTTCACAGTACTGTCAGACTCTTATCTTCAAAAGGCTTCTTAGTTAGCTAAAGTAAGGTGGTTTGCAGTGGAAATAGCAAGTAATACTTTTGTAAGACAAAGACCAACACAACTTACTTACATTTCAAGATGAAGCAGTGCTCAGATTTAGAGACACAAACACAACAAAGAAACCCACTACACACAGGATTCCAGAATTCAGAGCAAATCCATCCCTTCCATTTCTCCCTCACCAGTAACTAAACTGTTCTAGCTAAAAAGTGTAAAGGTGCAAAGAACTCACTCCAAACCAGGAAAACCACAACCACCATCTTCACACCCTCTCCCAGAAGAGAGAAAGCAAGAAAAAGAAAGATAAAACACAGTAGCACCAGTAGGCCAGCACATAATGAGATTTCCACCCGAAGCTTTTACACACAGAAAACATAAACTACACTTAAAAAAATGAATAAAATTCAATAGAATTAAGTCTCACCCGGAAAAAAGGAGAACTACAAGAAAGCACAGGCTACCCAAGCATAAGTAGACTCCAGCTATAAATGCATTGAGCATCTCAGCCCATTAAATCAGTTCTTTCCTCATTACAGCCCAGATGGTACAAATCTAATCCTCTCAGTAATAATTACTGGGGCCAAATTATCTCACAGTATAAATGAGGCAATGGTGTAAATGCAGTACACCTGATGATGCTGATGTCTGGGAGCTATAAAAGGGTAAGGGCAAGCCCTTGCCATACTCTACTCCCATGTACACACTGAGAAGTGTTTGCTCCAATATGAAGCCCATTGAATCAACCAGTTTCTTCAGTGGCTTCATGTGGGGCTTGGGCACGGGTCTTTGGGATGAATTAGCAAGGCTAAAGCTTAAACTAAGTGCCAGGATGTCCAGTACCCATCCTCACCATTCTCCCTGCTTTATTTGTGTTTTCTGTTGCTTTTAGCTGTATTTTAGAAAGGAGAGAGATAATTTATACCTGCTTTTTATACCTGCTGCAGATTCTTCCATGTATCATATGGTTTGTAATGATTTAAGGGCATGGAATTACTTGCATACTGCTTCTTTTTCCTGCCAGCTGCTGCCTGCCTTCCCTTAGATTAATGTGGCAGGTTGCAGTAATTTCGTTATGATTTTCCATCTTACTTTGTTTGTGACCCACTACCAGCTTTGTTTTCTCAAACCATACTTGCTTATTGGATTAACTTCTTTCTGGAGTATAGTATCACAGCTGCCAACTTTCTTTCATGATCACACAGTATTGAAACTCAACCAATAGGTAAACCATCGGTAATCTCTGAAGCATAGAACATCTTTGTTTCTCACCTAGAACTGGTTTGAAGACCCTTTAAGCTTGAGGAGCTATGGTGGTGTCAATGAGACACATCACTTGCAGTGTCCAACAGTTATCTCAAGTATTGTTGAGGTTCTATGGTGTCTGTATTCAAGAGATCGATTGAGACAATGGGCTTTTTGTGGCCACCAGATGGGGAAGCCATAGAAAGAGATATGAGAAGCATCTAGAGGGCTTTCCCTAGAGGTGTTTCACACCTTTGTCATCTGTGCTTTAAACCTTTCCTCCTTACCTTGAAATCCATTTCCATGATGGCAAGCCCTGAAAATTGCTTTCAATCAAAACCGATAGTGCAGCAGAACATGAAATCTTGGCCAACAAGTAGCAGATGCCACCAGCTGGAGCAGCTCAGAATTCCCAAACAGGGAACAGAGTTCTATTGCCCTGGCTGGGGCTCAGTTAAAGCAGACTGCCATCTCCCAGAGTTTCCATGATAAGTGCTGGAACAGAGCCCAGCCTACAAGGAGCAGATCTGATTACAGCTTTACTATGGTTTTGCCATTAGAGGCAGAATAGGTAGGAATGTTTAAACTTGTGGTTGCCTGAAACTTTTCACTTTAAAGCCCTGTTTTCATCTGCTTACAGTGCTGTCAAAACTGAAGCAAAGCACCATGAGATGAAGGGTGTGTGCCATAGGCTGAAGTTCCCTGGATGCTTCAGCCAAAAGAGTTCCTGAGAACAAGGCCATGGGGGGAAATATATTGTTCTCCCTATAGTAAAGGATCCTGGAAACCTCCTTCCTCCCATTGGAAAGCTGCAGTGTGCCTTTGACTTTGAACAGGCCCTCACAGTTTAGCAGGGAGCACCCTGCTAGATATCCCTGGTGCAGATGTGGCTTTTGGCACTGATAAAAGCATTTTCTCAGGCTTGATTGAGTTAAAATTGCAGAGCCTGTGTGCACTCAACAAAGTAATAGATGTAATAGATGTGTAGTTACAGCCTCTGCCCCACCCAGGCTATCTCCATACAGAGACTGCTGCAGTGTAGGCTCTTAAGAGGCTGAGCACTGCCAGAGGTGTACATTAGGTGAGCCTAATGTCTCATTCAGCTTTTTCCCTTAAGGAGAAAAGCCTCTGATGACCTTTTGAGGGATGCTGGGCACAGCCTTCTGCTCCCTTATGGGACATCTCATGGCAGGAGTTGCTCTTTCTGGCTTTGTTCCTCAGGGCAGAGAAGATAAATCATTTCCTCGCCTTCATCTGCACTCCTGAGATGATTACAAGTGTTGTAGATGGAGATGAGATCTTGGGAAGCTCATCTCTGCAGCTGCTGCTTAGCTGCAGGCAGGGCTATAGTTCTGTCTCGACTGATCTGGTGGGTATCCCAAACTATACCCAGTCTGCTGAGATAGACTAAACCTATGGCTAGAGAGATATGATGGCCTAAAAAATCCCTCAAGACAGGTATGAAAGTGTCTATACTCCTTCTCTTGGATGTAAGACAGCCAGGAAGCTGGGAATTGCTTGGAATTAGGCACCAGAATCAGTTACACTGACATAGGTGAATGGCACTGAGTTGTCTCAGCTGCAGACTCCCTGCCAGTGATTCCTGCTCTTTTCCTTACTCTTTTTGTCAACACACAGTGTCTTGGAGGAGCATACCTATGGTTCAGGTTGACACCTAAGTAAATAGGAAAGCCAGAATGTCCCAAACTTACCCATTTTCCACATTTTCCTTTGAATGCCGTAGGTAACCCTGTCAACCATCCACCTTCTTAAGTTCCATTTCAGCTTTCCCTGCTCAGGGGACATGGGGCACAGCTTGCATGTGGGAAGTTCAGCCCCAAAGCTCAGTTGCTTCTATCTAAACAGCACTCATGACTGTCTAGTTCTCTCTGGTTTAGTTCCTCCGTCTGTAAAAGGCATTTGTAGGCAGCAGCACTGCAGTGTCCATTCTAGGTATGGAATAAATGATGAAACTCTACCTTGATGTTGCCATGATGTACCAAAATAGAGCATTTTATCTCTGCAGCTAAGAACTGAGGCACGTTGCCTGTGATGGAGGAGGAAAGAAGGTGAATTCTCTCTCCCCAGCTCTAGTATTTCAGGCATGGATTTAAAGAGCAGCCAGAGGAAATTTGGCCTGGAGTTCCTACCAGATTTAGCCATTTTACGGATTTAGGAGCCTCTGATTAATTAAAATGAAGAAGGGAAACCCTCAGGTTTGCTGCTTCCAAAAGAATGCATGTCAGAGCCTATGTTCCATCAGAGACGGCTGCTCCAAGATGTCACCAGGAGCTTCATGGCTCTAGCCAGTGGGCAATGCTCTTTGCTGCTGTGTTTTTCCCTTCACCATGACTCCACCCTGCTGACCTTTAAGTAATAGGCTGAGAACACTTCCAAAGTGGAGCACTTTTCCAACTGCCTTACAGTCCCTCTGTCTATCAGACCCAATAAGTATAAGCCTCAACCACCAGTCCCACCGGCATCTGCCAGGATAGATTTCCAAGTCTTTTTATGGCCTTCATAAAGTTGGGATCAGGGGGATTTTTTCCACAGGAGTTGAGTAGAAAGAAAGACTTTCTCCACCTCTGTTTCTCTTTTTAACTTCATCTTTCGTTCTTGCATTTGGGAAACGACCTCATTCCGTGAATAAAAATAACCCCTTGATTTGTGTCCTTCTTCCTTAAAACAGAGCGAGACTTGTTGGTGGATCTAATAAAGTTTTTTCTCTCCTTTTCTTTCTCATGCACTGTTAAGGCTGTAATTTTATCCAGATGCCTTTGCTACTAATAGCCTTTCACTTTATGCTCTTGTATTTCACACACACACATTTGCCAGCCCATCTTTGCTTTATGTATCTCCCATCTCTTCACCTTCTGAAGATCGCAGGACTCTGTAGGACTCTTCCTTCAGTCTTCTCCTTTTCACTTTTGTGGCTTATGATTTCCTCTCGGTTATTCTAATGTTTTCCCCTTCTACTTTCCTTTCTATTAACATGTTTCTGAGGCATCTCGTCACCGGCACCTCAGGGCTGTTAAAGAAGACCAAAGCAAACTGTTAAGAACGAGCCAGCCCAAATAGGTAGTCAAGCCAAACCAGGGGAACTGGTGATGAGGTTGTCTGGAGCTGAAGGAGAAGAGATCCATTCACAGTTAAAGCAGAGAGAAAGGTGGTAACAAATTAAAGGAATGAAAAGGATGGAGGTGCCAAAACATGTTGTTGCCCAAGGGCCTGTGATGAGGGACATTATGTTACCTGCCAACAGGAGAGGTTCTTAGAGGTGCTGGCTGTCAGCTCAGTGTCTTGTTCACAACCTGTTCCCAAGTCTCTGGCACCGGGTCCATCCTTTCTCTTGGTGTTTACACAGCATTCCTAACCTCTGTGGGGTCCTAAGGCCATGGCGGAGCCTCTTTGCCATGCTTGTAGCATAAATAATCTGGAATCTAAGGGTACCTCCACTCTGGTCAAGCCTCTGCGCCTGCCAGGCAGGATGAAGAGCTGGTCAGCAGGCCTGGAGGATACTGGTATGGGATTTAAGAATGGCATGTTCATTTTGCCTTTCCATTTGTGTTGTCCCAGGAGAGCACAGGCAGGGGGTACTGGGTGATCTTAATGTCCTTTCCAACCCAGACTGTTCTATGATTCTATGAACACATTCCTCTGCACTTGGTTCAATCATCTGCAAAATAAGGATGCCGTCATTTCCTTCAGTTGCCTTATTTATGCCACAGACAGAGTGGAACCTTTGCTGACATAGGCCTAGTGAGAAAGAAGCAGTGGCATTTATTGATGGTGCTGGCAGCTGCTCCATCAAAGTGTGCTGGAACCTAGTCTAAAAGTTGGAATAAAAGAGCAGGAGAGTGTTCAAGTCTTCCCAGCCCTGATTCCAGTATGCTGCCTCTATTGCATTCTCTGATGTCGCTCACAAGCCTAACAAGTTGAGGATAAGGTTCAGTTACCTTAAGCCTTATTCTATTTGGAATATCCTAAGCACAGGGCTGGTGGATATAAGAGGGGAGCTGAGGAAAACCTTTGCCCTTCTGGAAACAGAGTGGGAGGCCAGTGGGAAGTGGGAACAGATGCATTTGCTTGGGAGGTAAATTTCACCTTGGAAGATTGCTTCTCCCCAGGCAAAGTAAGGTTTTCCCCAGGTCTTGATCAGAATTCCTGCAGAGGAGTCTGAAGAGGGGAGGAGCAGCCCAGTAAAGTCCATCCCAGGGCAATGGGTCCTTTCCAG